AAAAAAAAAAAAAGGATCATATATCTAAAAAAGATTCCACTTTAAAGATAAAAGCAAAACCAAGGTATTGAGTTCTTTATCAACAAGAAAATAGTTATTTTTTTAACACACAGTTGATCTAAAATCTTAGGCAGTGAGTGTCACAAAACCCACTCACCAAGAACTCACCCACTGGGGCTGGGGTTGTGGCTCAGTGGTAGAGGCGCTTGCCTAGCAGATGTGAGGCCCTGGGTTCTATCCTCAGCACTGCATATAAATAAATAAATAGACAGATAAAATAAAAAGATCCATTGACAACTAAAAATATATATATTAAAAAAAAAAAAGAGTACACCCACCGTATTAGGATCCATCTTATTTGCAATCACAGAGACACTGTGAGTGGCTGGGATGAATTTTTTTTTTCTCTGAATATGTTAGGTTGAGTGTAACTGAATGCTTGCATGACATACTTCCTGGTTCACTGAAGAGTAGGCTGAGCATTACTGTGGCCGGTGAGATCAGGAACCTTATACTTCTGTGTCTCCTTAGGGTCTAGCACAAAGCTCCATCCATGATAGATAAATGGTAAATGATGACAAACCTCACCTGTACTACTTTCCTTTTTTTCAAGAACAGTCACTTGTATATTAAGGACACTGTAGAAGCAGCAATATGATCCTCTCCTATCCCTTTTCTTCCCCCAGAACAGTCCCAACTTGTAGCTACACTTCACTGTACCTTTCCCATTCTGTCATGACCATAGCAACTTAATCTTTTAATTAATTTCTATACTAAAAAAGATAACTGGGTTGTTTGTGAGATGAAAAAGAGCAAAGTAGCACCACAAGATGACATTTTATCCTTGGCATGTATTTGGAGTTGCTTTGGAAATGTCCTTCATGCATTAATGTCTAGATTATTATTCTCCCTTATACAGATTAAATTATGTATTACCCTTAAAAAGCAGAGCTTTCTGGAACCGCAAGCTTGGTCTATAGATTGTTGGCTTCCACCTCCAATAAAATTAATTCCATCCAATTCAAGTTGGGACCATTTAATGACCTGAGTCACGAGCCCTTCACAGCGCATACACTGCTTGCTCAGTGCTGCGCTGAGTGCTCTTAGCTTAGCTGTTGAAAGAGATCTATTGACTGCTAAGTCCTTTAGGCAGGGGTTGTCCTGTTGAGAGGCATGCACTTCAGAGGTTGGGGAAGACTGCTGAAATGGAATTTGG